GGGGCGTTTGGTCAAGAACTGTCCCTCTCCTACTACTGGAGGAATGAGGGTGCAACCTGGTAAATGGGCCAGAAATATGTCCGCCGAGCTCGTTAATAACAGTTATATATATAGTCTTGAGAGCCATGAAATTTGGAAATTGAAGAAATGTGGCACTGACCCCATGGCCCGGACTCAGGGCTTCCAATTCTGAGCAATTTGGATGTGTGGCGAATGCAACTGACACCTCTTGTGGTAGACCCAGTAACCGGCCGGATCAGGGATGGAATTGACCTGGCCCAATCCCACAAATATATTTATTAACTTTAAGCAAGGATGAGCGGCTACCCTGACACAAGGGTGGATATCAGTTAACGAACGGCGGACTAAGCCTAGGGGCAGTTCCTTGGGTGGAAGTTTACCACCAATTAGGAAAGACTGGATTTATTTGGCAATACAGTAATGAAACACAGGGAAACCTAAATAAACCTCACAGTGACACAGGATTTCCAAGGACAATAATCAAGTATTTGATTTATTGCAATAAAAATCAATAAGGTATATAAATCACACAAGGGTTATGTACACAATACACCTCACAAGGCAATACAATATGCCTCACGTGGTTAACTAACCACCCGACTAACTTAAACACAGCTAGTCTACAACCCAAGGGTTACCTCACTAAATAGTGATAGCCCTCACACAAATAACACGTGTCATGTAAAACAGGGTCGATCTAACGAAAGGGTAATTTCACAGCCGGCGATCTTAGTACATCAGGTAAACCTCAAGGCTAGCTAGCACAATGACAAGATTGCCTTCCAGCCGTCACCCCACTATCAGTGCTTACAGACGACAAGCAATCCAACAGCAAAGACCACAACTTGAGCTCCTAGCCTAGGTTCACGACACTCGGCTCTATCACTAAAGTAATGTAGACCCAATACAGTTCGCTACTACTACACCTACCAGTTATAGTCACTACACGCAGTGCCCCTGGTGCAGCGTCCACGCTATACCTGGCACAGTCACAGCACAGAACGGTTGACAGCGTCCTCCACGATCCTGCCACTCTACGACCCAGCAGCGCTAGCGAAACTAACTGATTGTGCGCGCTCTAAGCACGCCGCAAGGGCCCAGACCTAGTGCTCTACGCAATGCTGATTGGTCAACGCAGTGCTTAATAATTCATGACTTACACTGGCATTCATGCCTACCCCTGTTTCGTCACAGATGCAATCGGGTCCGAAACTGGCACTATTCAGCGTTTTTGCGGAGGGATGTGTTTTCAAATTGGCTACTCTTCCGGGCAAAGAAATTTTCTTCATTTGACAGGTTGTTTACTTTGCGGAGTGAAAATTTCTCAACAATTAATCAGTCAACCGACTACAAATTGAAAAGAAAATGAAAGAGGGCATGTCGAACATCGTTTTTCTGTGTAACCTGAATACCTGTAAGAGTTGTGGGTATATTAATACATGTACTTGTGAATTATGGGATTTTTCACTGCTGTCTATGGAAATTTATTTGCTGTGGTGCATTAATAAACGATGGAGACTGGTCACAACATGGGGCGCCCTCATGAGCTCACTTGCGACGGCGATATGAGAGTGCACTGAACCAATTCAAACTCCATTGAAAATAGTGAAAAATCAACAACGTTTGGAGCCCCATGGCAAGCAACTGATGAAGTCCCCAAGGCCTCTTAAACAGAGACAATGTGTTGTTTTGTCCTTCAGATTTCGTTTGATTTTCAATTTTAGTAGGTTAACCAATGATTTCTTGTTTTTTTTGTTTTTGTTTTTGTTTTTTTTAATCATCGGCCGAAAACAGACTCCGCCCCAAAAAGTTAATGTTCCAAGGTCTTCCCAGTAGCCATTTTTCAAATGACATTCCTTATCTGGGGCTCTTCAGCCTCTTCTGACAAATTTTCAATCGCATTTGTGTCTGCTTTTCCCCCAGGGGGTTGCCCTGGAATCTACAGAGATAATCCTGGGCCATACTGACACATTCCACAATTTCTTGGCCCAAACAGACTCTTCTTTTGAAACAATCTGTTGGGGTAATTTTTACGCGCCTCCCCCTGGCGGAACTTCCTTGAATTGGGACACTGCACGCTGAAGTGTCGCCTTTGGAACACCGTACTTACTACCAAGCACAACTGAGGGGGTAAGGACTCCACCTCCGCTTGCATACAATGTCATGCAATGTGCACACAGATTTACTGGGCTGTCTTACTTGTTTACTAAATTGAACCACGAACAAATTCTTATGATTTTATTATGAATCAAGTTAAAAAAAATAAGAGTTACCCACAAGACAGGGTAATTTAGGAAGGTGAGCGAGCAATTTTTATTTCGATCGGGAAATGTCAAATTTCAAGTTGTAACAGCAAGTCAGGGTAAGTACATGTACCATGGAGGTAGAATCTACCTCCATGCATGTACGTAGGGCCTTGGCCTAGTACATGTACATGTACTGTACGTGTACACTCCATGATGTACATGTTTATTTACCTGATTAGTAACTAGTACTAAATACTAGTAGTACCATAGAGCAAAGTCAGAGTAATAGTAATAATATGCAAATAGATAAATGGAATAGTTAGCCCAGTAAGCTGGTAAGTAGTTAGCCCCACACGTAGGCTGTAGTGGCTCTCTTTTACACTGTCTCCTACATGTACATGTATCTGTCACCACCACAATGACCACAGCCCTTTGTGTACTTCAAGACACGTCTTTAATGCCTGAAATCGAAACTGTTGGATTGTCTCAAACTTTGATTCATGGTACATATACATGTAGGGGCCACTCTAGACCAATAACAGGGCCCTACGTACCTGTACATCCGATCAGCATTTAAATCACAGGTCGGGTTTTCAAGGTGCCATACATCGGAATACGTACAGTTTTGGAAAGCTTTAGGGTGCTCATACAATAGCTCAAACTCTGAGGAGTATGCCGGTGTAAGTAAACTTGTCAAGTCATTCTCCTTTGGGAAGAATTGGATTCAAACTTACTGTGGAATAAATTGCTGAATGCATTTAATGTATTCGAGATGAATATCACCAACCTGATCACCTAATCACTTTGATCATTTTAAATCTTTAGTTAAAACATTTTTATTTAGGAGGACATACCCGTGATATTTATATTTACAAGTTGAACTAAATGTTCTACCATTTTTACATGTACCGTTGGGACTGATTTTAATCTTTACTGATTTTAATGTTAGTAATTTTATTTATATTCCATTTTGTAAAGTGCATTTTATCTTATTTTATGTTAATTTGCACTATATAAATTGTAATTAATTATTGTTAATGCTATTTAGCCTGCGATGGCTAAAACTCTATTTGTTAATGTTTTAATTTATAACATCCGTACAGTGAATAGCGTATGTATCGGTACATGTAGTACAGGTACACTGTTATGTATTTCTTACTTCTGTTACATTATACATGTACATGTACACGAACAGTACATTCAACTGTTCAAGGAGTGAGATCTGCACAATCTGACAATCACTCTTTAGTTGATGTTGTCATCAGCCAATCACCTTTCTAAAAATGCAGGTACACTGTACATGTATGTACCGGTGCGTGTACATGTGGAATTGATTGTCTCAAAACGATTTCAAGTTTGGGCATACTCTATATACGGTGTATTTGCTTGATAAAAGTGATAGCACAGCTTGATGGGTGATAGTGAAAATAATGGCCCAATCGGTTGCACCCAGTGTGGGAAGTACATTGTATAAATTTATACATGTGTACGTGTACATCCAGGTTTTCTAGTGTCTTAAATACACGTACTGGTACATGTACTGGTACATACCACTAAAGTGATAAATTACATGCACTTTTCAAACTTGTTCCACCTTGGCCCTGGACGTGTTTCCTTACTAAATTTGGGATGATCAAAATTTGATTTTCCACCATACATGCACATGTGCAATGTAGGATATACATGTACATGTACTCTACAACTGAATTTACACATGGATTTGCTGACCTAAAGTTATACTGGTTATACATGTACATGGTACTTTGGCTGATACATACTGTTTTGATTTTGAGGTTTCAATGTGGCTGTTGTGAAAATGTACAACGATACAGTTTGAAATTTGATACTTCACACAGTTTTGTATGCAGCTGTTGTTGGAGAAAACTTTGTAAATATACTTCTCTAGAGACTGATCTGTCATGATGTAAAGATAAAGAATCAGACGTCGTTTTTTACATGTACATGTATGTAGATAGTGAATAACTTTTTGTTTACATTTTATTCTATCTTCGGAAGCTGTTCCAGTGTAGAAGTTGACAACAGTGTAAAATATGGCAGAGCGTCTGACCTGCAAGCGAGACCATTCAGAAGAATTCAAGGTGCCAGAAGCAGACGAGACCGAGCCTGACCACTGTGGCACATCCCAAGCTAGCAAGCGAATCAGAGTAGTGGAGGAATGCGAGGGGCTGCCTTTAGCTGATTCGACCGGCATCCTTGATAAAGATGTCATCTGCACCAGGTGGTCAGTCGGTGAAGACAACCAGGACTCTCTATTGCCCTCAACATCTCAACCTGACCTTCAAGTAGAGGAAAAAAATCTGTGTACATGTAGCACCAGTGGGAATCAAGAATTATCTGGAGCTAGGACTTTGAGCCTTGAAAGTAATGCTACTTGTTCACCTACTCTCACCAGTGACTGTCAGACCGTGAATCAAGGAGACAGCAACCATGGTCCTTCCGAAGCAGTCACTAGTACATCAGCTCTTGGGGACAAGAGTGTTAGCCCTTGGTCAGGATTTGACGAGGGAGGAACTGAAATGGTTAAAAATAGAACTACGGAAAGTGATGGAGGGAAGCCTTCTTTCACAGATTACCTTAACAAGGACTGTGCGGCTACTCAGCAGAGTCCAGGATCAGATGGATACAGCCAGTATCTCCGTGAGACGTCTTGTTTGAGGGACATTGCAGGAGACACTGATGGGCAAGGACGTGCAGATGGCTCAGCAAGTGAGGTCCAGACAGATGCTGCAACCCCAAGGGAACCCCTGCAGGGCTTGCGGGAGGTTGACGTAGGCATTGTGGAATACATCAGCAAGCACAAAGGCTTCCACGGCGTTATCAAGCAGAGGTTTGTCTCATGCAGGACAAAACAACTGGCGAATCAGTCCTTGTACCTCACAACCATCCCAATGTTTGGTTTTTATTTACAGTAAACCCTCCTTTAGTCAGATCTCAGGGGAATGCCTTAAAAATTTTGAGTTATCCAAATTTCATAGTAAGAAAGGGTCCCAATTCAGATTTACTCGTTTGTCTAAAGTATTTCCACCATTACTATAGGGCTGTGAAGGCTACAGTAGGGAGTGTGGGGGTAAATCAGGTAAGGTCAAAATCAGGGATTGTTGTACATGTAGCTGCAGGTTGGATTTTGTGACTAACAATCGTACACGTACATGTACTGCATGCATTGGGGAGTGATGACCCTTGAAAGGGTCTCAGTATTTACAATGTACTCTTGTTACAAGTTTTTTGTGACTCACATGTCAAACAGAGTTACTAACGTGTGCAGACATTTTTAGTTCTGGATGTATCGGTACACGTACTGTATACATGTACATCATTTACATTTGTAGGTAATATCCCATTCTCTTGTCAATAATGGAGTGTGACTTCAAGATAAAACTGAGTTTCAAGTCAGCACATTTTGAGTAAACAAGAGTTTACTGTTACGTGTATACTATAAAATTATTTAAATTTAGGGATTTTATTTCTGTATGCTACTGTACCGGTACCCAACAGAAAATATAATGTAACTATGTAACCTTGAACTGATGCCGCAAGTTCACCTCGGCGGTGGTACAAAATGACTCAGCATGGTACGGATGAAAAAGTAAGGAGGGTATCATTGTTTCTGTGCCTCAACCTCAATTGCTCTAAGATTTGCACACCGTCTTCCTAAATTTCGAAGTCCCCAAGTGTGAAGGCAACCAATGGTTTGTTCTATATGTAGTTGGGCCTACATTGTATTATAGTTTCCTCAATTCTACAGAATCTTAAAATAGGATCAGGATTGGGAGATGTTTTAAATACGACTGGTATCTCATTTGTTTACAAATTAACTACACGTACATCTATGGTGTATGCAACTGTCTTTGACTTTATTTTCCAATAGGTATCAGGACTTCCTTGTGAATGAAGTAGACCTGGAGGGGAAAATAGTTCGTCTGACTGACGTATCTTCCCCAGATCCCAAGCCCAAAGCAAGTTACTGTTTTTCATCCATCCATACCAGGCTGTAACTGTAGTTGATTGAACTCTCAAGTTTGAAAACTGATCATAAATGTACTGCTTGGAAAAAACTGTTGCCTGCAAAAAGGTTACAATTTTGACTCATCCACCTTGAGCAGAAGCGTCCCTTCATCAGTTGAAATGAGCCAGGTTGGTGAGAAGTAAATTGTTGGTGGTGATGCCACTGTAACATGTGCATTTCAGAGTCATTTGTAAACCACCAAAGTAAATTTCCCACCGAAGGAGATTCTGTTGCTCAAGCTTCAGCCTCAGGTGGATTCTCAGTTCACAGCAAATCTTGAAGGTTAAGTTTTCCTCAGAGAAGAGGTTACTGATTAGTTTTTGGTGTTTGCATGAATTTTAGGTAACCATCAATGCAGATGAAGTGCTGTCAGCCCATGATCAGCAGAGATTACGGGAGTTAGTGGAAACAACAGACAAGAAAGCTTTCCACTGTATCGAGGTATATTAATTAACTGTGTGTGAGTGCACACTGACAAATAGATGGTCTTGTCTGTTGGGATTCCATGGATTTTTTAAAATTCTGCCTTAATGTTCAGCATCCAGTGAGATCAGTGGTTCAGGCTGCATTACAGTCAGTTAATATTTCTTTTGGTCTTGTTAATAATGTACATAATTATGCATGAAGGTAGGTATTAAAAACTGTTAACTGCTGTTATACATGTACATGTAAGTCTAGGGCACTATGTAGTTTTACACCCGAGGGACAGGTAACCCACTGAAAAGGTCTCAGCCCTTCATGGTCTCTGCTATCATGGTAGTGTCGGCCACTACCAACAAAGAGAATCACTGCATTGTGTCCATGATGTTTTATATTTTTTCTACTTAGGTTTACGACTATGACAAGGCAAAGCGAAAGACGGTTCATGAGCTTATCCGGCAGGACTATGGAACACTAGAAAGTGCCACTCTGGACGGTGATGGCAAAAAGGTCATCAAAGTCACCAAGGTCACTCGAGGAGGTAAGAAGTTCCTCCTCAAGCTGGGAGATATGAGCAACTTGAAAAACATGTTGAAAGTGTCAGAAAGAAAGGAGTTGAATTATCAGATTGGTCATTTTTCCAATATGTATGGTATACATGTGGGCAGCATCTTCATAAATTCACACACCTGAAATTTGTCATGTACAGTATCTCGGGCAATCTACATGTAATCTCCCATTCTGAAGACCGAACCTTTGTGAGTCAGCGACCGACATGTACATCTTGCACACAATTTAAATTTTTTTTTAAATTTACATGTAAATTCGTAATGCATGCAGCATGGTAATGCCTTGCTGATGAATCTTACAGGAGGATGTAATGTTTCTACCTTGCCCCTTGTTTTTATGTGCTGGTGTGCGTGTAATAAGTGTTTCCCACCAAAACGTGAGAAAGACATGATATGTACATCTTCAATTTTGGTATGCGGGATGGTCGTGGTGTCCCCTAGGGAACTGTTGATTTTGGACAGGTCAAGGTTATGATTAAGACAACAGACATGGTTTTCCCATTATATGTGCAAAAGACTTGAAACACCAATGCGATATGTTGTTCTTTAGTCCTGGTGACTTGTGAATGGAATTTTGAATTTGTAAGATTGCAAATTAAAGAAAAGTCATCAGTTTAGACAGGTACTGGGCAGGAGATTTTGTTTTCACTATCGAACATGAGAAAGATACGTAGTGCAAAGCAAAACGTTGAGAAAGTCTTTTTCTAGCACCTCGGGTAAACGTTTTTGCTGCCCTCTGTTGATAAGGTGAATGGAGGCATTTGCAATAATCAATTTCCTATTCCGTGAACTTGGCGCAAGATGTCGCAACACCACCCTCCACCATAGGCAGGAAGACGGAAGACCCTTCATATAGATTTCCAAATTTTATGGGCCCAAATCATTTTTTAGGGTTGTTCAGCCTGTTCAGAGCATGTTATTCAAGTTTGAAAACCCTTGTGGACGTAAAAGGAGAACAGAACATTCTAAGCAACAGTAAATTTTCTACTTCGTTGAATTCGTCCATCCTTAAAAACCATTTTCCAGTTGGCCCATTAGTATACATGAGTGGCTTCTTGTGGACAATTTACTCTTCCAGTTATCTTGTGTTTTTTTGTATTTGTTTTTTAAAAGGGAGAGGACTACGGAAAACAAGCCACCATAGCAATGGTGGAGCTACAAGCCACAGGGCATGTCGAGTGCACTTGCGACCATGTACTGTGCATAAAAACACCTCGCAGCGCTGCAGCAAGCTTGCAGTTAGCGCGCAATTAAAGTGCGTGCAAGCTGGTACCATTTTGCCATTCGCAACCGATTAAACAAACAGATGCCGTATGTCAATTTCATTCTCGTGTTTGAGACTGTGGTGATGCAGATTTGCAGATAATGGCTGCCCTTTACAAAGCACAATAAAAAAGGGGAAAAAAAGGAGTTTAAGTGAATCACAGTAATGTTGCCTAAACTTAAGACAGTTTTCTCATGAGATCCTTCTGAATCTTTCATAAAATTGACGGATCAAGACCGTGAACCAGGAGAGTCATGAGTTTAAAGTATTATGCAACCTGTACTTTGACCTATTCCTTCATGCTTTCATTTAAGGTATATACCACTCCCAGCAAGAAATTTAACTTGTTAACGGAGTTGACACTGATTCGCTTAAATCCTCACTATTTATCAGTGGAGGGCCTGGGAAGTAAACTCTCAATTCAACAACTTGGAATGCCGACGGGCCAGACCGGCCTGTACAGGCCGATAAAGGCAGTAATACAGACCAAGGATCATACCTGCCACAAAACGGCCAAGCAATCTCGGCCTATAGAGATACTGGCTGGTAGTTTACGCCACGCCTAAACTAGTTTTATGAATTTTAGACAGCTATAAAATTTAGTGTCTCAGGTACATGTCAGACATGGAAGCAAGTCATTTTTGCAAGTCAAGTCACATGTCAAAGCTGCAGCTGGAGTCGATTTCCTCAAACTCAAATATATGTAGCTTGCAGCTCATCTTAGAGCTTGCATTTTGTAAGATGAGTAGATTGATATCAGCTAGGATGTGTTCTGAGATCAATATCATCCCCTTGATTAAAAAGCTGCCTTAAAGCCAGAGACTCAATGGCTTTTTCATGTTTCCTTTTACTGCTTGACAAAGCAGTTGTTGAAAAGAATAGGGAAAGCCAATTTCCTCTGGCCACTCACGTGGGAGTGTAATGAAAACAAACTTTTTGCCATAAAAATTGATCATGAATACTTTCAATCATTTTTATCATTCTGTTTTAAAAAAGAGAAGTGAAATTGTTTGCATGCTATTAAACTTTGAAATTACCGGGTAGTCTATCTTATTATTCTAACATCTTTTCAAGTCTGTTTCTGCAGCTGTTTTCTTCCTTGAAATTGTTAATTTTCCTCTTGGGAGACTCTCGTCTTTCATTTCCAGATGATTACTGCACGCATTAATGAGATCAGATGGCCCTCACACCCATCTTGATTTAAGATATGAGTTTCTGAGGAAGTTCGGACATTAAATGCATCTTTAGTTTGATGAAATCGATCCAAGATAAGACAACTTGCCTTTCCCAAGACATGTCTTTAAGTGTTTTGTGAAATTGGCCCCAGTAGTTGCAAGTCAAGTCTTAAGTCCACAAAATTGGGACTTTAGTCTGACCCAGTCCGACCAAGTGTAGCATGATTCAAGTCAACAACTCTGATATACATGTATAAACAGTACATGTATAGTACTATACATGTACATTTAAATTGTATACGTGTGTAATTTCCTACATACATTTTACCCCCTCCCCTCCAAGTATCCACTTGAGAGACTATAGTTGCTGCTGGTACATTATGATTGTGAATATTGCAAATATTTTCAAAGGGCATTCCATTTTTTAATGATACATGTAGTTATTGGGAAATTGCTGGTACAAACAGTGTGCCTTTTGTACACAGTGTACAAGAACAACGAGATGTGAAATAATGTACGTATATGTACATGTAGCACAATCATGCCTTTGTCTGAGGGCACACCTCATGTTTATCAAGCCCTCGTTGGCCGTGACACATGCATGCTTACACGCTTATTTGATTTCTAATATACATGCAAGATCATTGAGATATATGCAGACGTGAACATTGTGCAGGTACTTGTACCATACCATGCGTCCACCGTGTCCACTCAGATTTCTCCACGTTTTCTATACATTATTAATCAGTGTATGCTGAAAAGTCTTTGACCTTACATTAGACTTCAAAGAAATTGGCCATTACAAGGCTTGGGTTTAAACTGATAAACCTTGCAGAGTGCAACGTACGTGTAATTTGATCTGGGGGACTCATTTTTTCGACACAAAGTGGCTAAACAATGAATGTAATTTTAGGGAAAAGAATTGTGAAACTTGCACAAAATAATACATTTATTCTTTTCCACATTGAGATCAGCAGCTACATGCAGGGTAATTTTCGGTGATGAGGATTTATATCTATAATTATTTAATTTACTCAAATAACTTTAAAAAATCCAAATTTTTTAGTTGTTACGAGGTTAGTTGTTACATGGTTCTTGGAATACTGTGGTCATTGCTCGTGTTTGGCAACCCCTGACTGACTTTGTCTTTACCGCACTCACAATTTCATTTAAAATATGATTGAAATCTTCTCATTTATTTGTGACAGTAGACTTGAAATCAAGGCGTTAGTCGGTCATGTTTTTTGTCCTGAAAAACATGAACCATACAGCATGCTGCGTCGTCTTACAATTAGTGCTGAGCCTGTTCCCGTTGCCTGAGATGATGTGTGCCGAGCCGATTCAGCCCTGATACGGCGCATGGTTATACACATGTAGGCTGTTCAGTACTGGGTTTTAGTACACGTAGGCCCACGACTCCACTGTGCCCGCCTAACGACTTGATCAACCTGACTCTGGATTGATATTCATGCATTCAACAACTGTCAGACTGTACTGCATATTCTTTCGTTTCCATGGAAAGCGCCAATAGTAGCTCATGCAACATAAATAGGTTCATCCATTTCATAAAGAGGGATGTCTATATTTGATTAGTGCCAGCTTCTTTCATTTACATATATCTTACATTAATATCCCTTTTAATACAGTGCTTAAAGACAAAAGTATACATACCGATAACTATTCAAGAACAAATTTATCAATTATTATCTATTTATTTTTTATTAGTTATTATTTATTCTATATATCTTTTTCGGTGAAAGAACCGAAGTTTCTATGGTAAATCATTATTCTTGAATTATGTAAACACCCTCTTCAGTGAACAAGCTAATAAACATTCAACTGACCTTCCTTAATATGCCAATCAAACTGTCCCTATAAATAAATATTTAAATAATCAGGATTCTTAGCCAATCAGAGTGCTCGGTCCAATGTTGGTAGCAAGCCCCATATGTTGTGCACAAAAGGCCTTGCAGGTTGCTCAGGGCACCTCCAAACACATATTGGGGAGCGAGGTTGCACTGAACCTTCCCACATGTAATTCAACTGCACCTGTTATTAAACTAAATGCCGGACCGCACTGAGTACGGATCATGAGGAAGGTGAACTACACCCGGCCAATTACAACAGTTGCAGAGCTCATTGTCTTACTTACTAACCTCAGTTGAATGTTTGTAACTCTTGGGCTACCTGCTCTTTCCACACTTAAAAAGAAAAAACATTCTCCAATGATTTGTTCAGCCATTTTGTGCTGTCTTTGTTCTGGAATGGGCCATTTCAGTGAATGGTCCGCAAATTAACTTGATTCTGCCTCATTTCATGTGTGCTATTATGGAAAAAGAACCAGACCAAATTGGCAGTGAAAGTACATCATGTTTCATGTCTGCATGTCAGAGTGCAAGATGTACACTAGCTGCAGTTCAGGTGCTTGAATAGCATTGTAGGGAGGGACTTGCCGTGCTGAGTAGGTTTGGCAAGCTAAATGTACATGTACATGTAGCTGTTGTTGCTTGGTGCCCATGATACACCACTCCGG